GCGACTGCGGAGCCCTCTGCCCAGGCTGGGATGTGAAATTTCAAACTTCACCCCGGAGTTAAATTCCCCACCCCCTGCCCCAAAGGATACTAAGGGATGGGGGAGAGGGGGAAGGGCAGGAGGATCCAGCCCCTTGGGGTTCTCACTGAGGCTGGGCCACAGGGACCCCCCATGCTGGCCTGTGAGCTGCGCACCCCTCAGCCCAGGGCCCCTCGCCCTCACCTTGAGAACTTGGAGGGGGCGCCCAGAGGAGGTGACAGCGCTTCTCCAGGCAGCCGATGATGGAAGAAGAGGCCTGAGGCTCACAGGGATGCCAGGCCCACAAAACCCACATCCTGAAGGTGGAACAAGTGGAAAAAAGGTGTCTGCTTCCCAGCCACTGTCCAAGCCCAGCTCCTTTTAGGATTGCCGGACATGATTCTACCCCAAACCTGATGGGTGCGAGAATAAGAGGAGCACCCTGCGTGGCCTCGCATGAGGTGTTTAGATTTGCTGAGCCTGTCTCCTCCCGCTAAGTGGCACAGTGACACCCGCCTCCTTGGGTGGTCAGGAGATTAAGTGAGAATATGTGTAAAGGGCTCGATACGGCGAAGCTCAGTTTGGGTCCTCAAAGTCCTTCCCACTCAAACATACACCCAGGGAAAGCAGGGGCAGGACCCAGGGGTCTCTGGGTTGGTCTGGCGTCTGAGCAGCGTTGGGGTAGCTGGTTGGAGATCAGGGGACTTGGGTGAACATGCTGCTGTGAGCGTGAGTAACTCAACATCTCTGTGCCTCAGTCTCCCCATAAAGCAGCGGGTGTGTGGGGAACGGGGCTGATCTTCAGGAGTCTTTTCGGGTCTGGAAGGAAACGGATAGCTGGTGGGTTAGCAGAAAGCGGGAGGCTGGGGGCCGGCGGCTTGGCGGTGCAGTGGCGAGTACGGCCCCTAGGCGGCCTCGAGGATAACAGATGAGTCGGGGCTGCGCGCACCCCTCCAGCCCCGGGCTTTCTGAGCCGGGCAGACACCAGCCACCGCCGGGTGGGAAGGGCCTGGCTCTTCTGGGCTGGGATGTCTTTTCCATGTTTACAGACCTCCAAGGTAGGAAGAAGCCGTCACTCTAACCGAGTGCTGACTTTAGCCGTGGCCTGGGGGTAGGATGAAGGCAATGGCCTGCCTTTCGGTCATACTTCTGGAGGGTTGGATGGAGGCAGGAGGGAGCCTCATCCCGCCCCTCTCGCCTCCCTCCTGCCTGAGTAGGGTGGGTGGGAAGAGAAATCAGGTCTGGGACAATGATATCCCATTGCACAGTCAGTGGGAGACACAAAGTCAGCATATAAGCTTCCTTTTTTAAAAATGGATTTTTATTGTTGAGAATATTACAGATGTCCCCATTTCCCCCCCTTTGCCCCCCTTCACCGGGCACCTGCCCCACCCCAGGCCTTCACTGCACATTGCCCGTGTCCATGGGCTATGCATATATGCATATAAATTCCTTGGTTGATCTCTTCCCTTCCTCCCTTCCCTCTGAGATCTGTCAGTCTGCTCCATGCTTCCATGTCTCTGGACCTATTTTGTTCGTCAGTTTATTTTGTTCATTAGATTCCACATATAAGCTTTCAATGTAGGACAGTCTCTCATCCAACCCCACTCTTCCAAACCCCTTTTGCTCCCCCAGCTGCTCTCCAAATAATGAGTTTCCCAATCCATCTGGAAGGAAGATCCCCCCCTTCCCCCCGGCAGAACTGCTCCCCAGAACTAGAGGGTATGTGCAGCAGAGGAGGTAACCCCCAGCCACCGCTCCCCAAATCAGCCTTTCCCAAAAACACTCTCCCACGCGGTCCTCGGCAGAGCTACCGGGCGGAGCATTAGACCAGCTGATTCCAGCGCACCCAGAACGTGGGGGGAATGAGGCCTGAGCGAGTCTCCCTGCGGAACCGCGGCCCCAGATTACAGGGCAGCTCCCTGGCTCACCCCGTCTCCTCCTGGCCTGGGCCCATCAGGGGCAGCAGGAAGCAAGTCCCATCAGCACTTTTGACTGGGGCTGCTTTTTAGTGAGTCACCTCCCAGACTTCCTGCAACAGACGGCTCTAAATAGCTGGGTCCCACCCTCCAGCAGGGGAGACGTCCTTCAGGGGGGAAGACAGGCGGTTACAAGGTGGGTGCCCAGCCCAAGCAGAGCAGAAGAGAGAAGTCGCTGCCAGCACAGCACAGCACAGCACAGGGGGCACCGGTGCAGGACGTTTTGTTTACAGGCTTTTGTTATTATGGAAATTGCTGTCAGTCAAGGTAATTCTAGCCCAGATGAGCAATAAATATGCTCCCACCTAATCTTATGGGGATTTTATTGGCACCTTGGGGGCAGAGGTTCCTTTCCCCTGCCCACCCTTTCCCCTCCAAGCAAAGCCCTGCTCCCCAGCTGTTTCCCCCATCCACGCGAGGAACTCCGGAGCAGCTTCGGAAAGTGCTCTCAGAGTGAAGACCGAAGACGCAGGCGGCTGGGCCAAGGTCGGGAGTGGCTTCCTGGTCCTACCTGCAGGCAGGGGGTGACCAAATGACCTGAAATAAACCCTGGGCGACCTGGTTGGATCAAGGCATGCGCGAGTTTCCCTGGGCCTGCCCAGAACGCTGGGGCAGTCACCTGGTCCCCAGGCACCCCAGCTCGGGGAGACCGCGTCCCGGACCGGGAGGAATGTCTCGAAGAGGGAGCCGGTTCGCAGGAGTCGGTTTCCAGCGTGTTGGAGTTACAGCCGCGAGCCCTCGGAGGCACCGCCCGCAAGTCCCGGCTTGCAAATCGGGGAGCCAGCCCCGGGGAGAACTCGAGTCGGAGCGAACCCGGGTGC